TTATATTCTGGTTTTCTCCAGTCATCTACTCGTGTGGGAAGTTTTCGTCATAACCTGCTCGGATACTATGCAGTTTATTCATCTGTTCTGGACTATGGACATGCTGTGATGCGTAAATATGCCTCTAGACAACAGGGTTTTGCTGCACCATCACGAAACACTCATGGGCTCTTGCTTATTTTACTGCTGCTCTCTGGGGATGTTCAATTAAATCCGGGACTGGTTAACCCGATAATACAGCTGGACTCTGGAGTTGAGCCTCATTTGGGGACGACCTCGGCAGCGTCTCACAATGAGGTGAGTGCCTGAGGATTTCCTGTGGATTTACCAGGCCCGTCAAACAGCAATGTGTGTTTAATTAACAACGTACACAATGCTCCAGTGCACAATATTTCTACACTGCTCTGCGGAGATTCTACTAGATCTACCAAGGCGCCAATGACTACACTTAACATCTCCACGTGTGTCGAAATCCTGCGGTAAGAAAGCATACTGTATGTAGAATTTTTCAGACTGTAAATCACGCGAAGGTTTTGTGGGACCCGAATGTGAAACCGAGAGGACTTTTTGGTGGACATTTGAATATCAGGAGTATTGTTTCAAAGAACGAACAGTTGTCTCATTTACTATCTAATTCAAATTTGGACTTCCTTTGCATATCTGAAACGTGGTTGCATCAATTATCTTCTCCAAGTGTATTTATGATGCCTGGATATCAATGTTTTAGATGTGATAGGTCCTCGGGAAGGGGAGGGGGAGTGTTAATATATGTGAGAAATGGTATTAAGTGTGAACGTCTTGTGTTTAACTCTATTAATGACTTGGGAGTTTGTAGGGCTAAAAATAATTTTGTCTCCTCAAATGTCATTTATTATCATATGCGTGTATAGACCCCCCTCAGTAAATGATATATTTTATAAACAACTTACAGAAATCTTTAAGGAATGTAATCATAACAAAGAAATAATTCTTATGGGTGATTTGAACTTGAACTGGTAGGACAAAGTAAAGAGGAAAAATCTCAAAACTATTGCTGATAAATATATTTTAAGTCAGATAATTAAAGGACCCACAAGAATAGCTAAATCCTCTAAGACACAGTTAGACCTAATATTCACAAACAAACCTGAAAGGATAATCAAGAGTTATAATTTTATCACTGGGTTATCTGATCACAATTTAACTTCGGTTGCTCGGAAACTGACCAAAAACAGGTTTAAAAACAATGCGACAAATTCTAATAATGTTTTCTGTTGTATACCTAAAGGAAAGCTAGTAGAGTTTAATGAGGAAACAGCTAGTTTAAAGTGGGATGATATATGATTTTCTCAGGATGTAGAGTATGGCTGTAACACACTCATCAATAGGACTAACTCTGTAAGGGACAAATTTACTACAAAAGTTCAGAAAAAAATAGGTATAAAAATAATCTACCTTGGTTCAATGACAACTTATGGAAGCTGATGAAGAACAGGGACTCAGCATTAAAGATGGCTATTAAGACAGGAAGGGATATCGACAGGCTTTGTTATAAAGGACTGCGGAATAAAGTTACTCGAGAGCTAAGAGTAGCTAAATCAAATGATTATCTTCACCAATTGAACGAGGTAAAAGGAAACAGCAAATTGATTTGGAAAAAATGTTAATAGTCTTCTACAGAAGGAGATAAATTCTCCAGGAGATCTCAAGATCAAAGTTCAAGGAAATTTTATTCTAGATGATTATTCCATTGCTACTGTTTTTAATCATTTTTTTTAATTAATTCTGTTAATGAACTGTGGGAAAAATTTGTAAAAATGGAAATAATTATTCTACTGTCTGATGTTGATAGCCAAGGTTTTAACCTAGCCATGACTAAGGAAACACAGGTTAACAGAGTTATCAGCTCATTAAGAAATACTAAATGTAGGGATGTTCATCAATTTGATACTAAGTTTCTTAAAACTCATAAAGATACTTTAGCTCCTGTTATCTCTCATTTCATTAATTTATCATTTGAATATAGTGTTTTTCCTACTGCATGGAAGCAAGCCATTGTTTCTCCTATTTTTAAATCTGGGGATCATTTTGAGGTAAGCAACTATAGACCAATCAGCATATTGCCAGTAGTCTCAAAGGTTAATGAATGTGTGTTCTTCCAATGCAGATATTTTTTATAAATGGTGAAAAGATAGACATTTTTACTGAGTTTAATTATCTTGGTTTAACGCTAGATCCAAATCTTAGTTTTAAAAAACATGTAAAGAAATTGGTGAGGACTATAAAATATAACTTGATAAATTTTAGACAAATTAGACAATGTCTACCCACTGATGTAGCCAAGACTTTTATGCATGCTGCAATCTTTTCATAAAAATTTTTGAGCTTTGATAATTTTAGACTTTTCTCAAATTTGTGTATGGTATATACAATTTTAAATGGTTTAGCCCCTTCTGTACTTCGTGATTTTGTGCATTTTCGCTCTACAGTCTCTGTAAGATCTACTAGATCATCATCTACTAGTGATTGTGTTGTTCCTTTTCGTCATTCTGCCTTTGGGTTATCATCTTCTCAGGGAAAGCTATTATTCACTGGAACACTCTACCAGAAGACATAAGGATGTGCACATCTATTGACATGTTTAAATTAAAACTAAAATTTTGTTTAAAAGCAACTCAAATCTGTAAACACTGATATAGTTGTGGCTTAACTGAACGTTATTTTTATTTATTTTTATTTTTTGGCTCTGATGGGATGTGTATAAGTATTACTGTATTGTATGTGTTTGTTATTTTGTTCTTATGTCTATCTGTGATTATGATTACCTGCCAGGGGACCGCGGATGAAAACTAGCCATTGGCTAAATTCGGTACAATGCATGAAATGGAAACATTTATGTTAAAATTGTACATGGTCCCTTTTCAAATAAAGTTTAATAATAAGAGATATCATCAATAAGATTACAACATGAGCGCAGAAATAAGGAATATGCATATAACCCTTGTGCGTCCTCTGTCTTTATCGAGGGCCAGCCTAAAGCTTTATCCATATACGCAGCAGTGACTTTAAGTTCATTACCAAATTGCTCCTTCAGAAGATTTTTAGCTAATGAATAACCTATTTCAGGATCAAGATGTTGGCAACTCCGAACCAATTATTTTGGTTGTCCTGTGGTAAATTGTTCCAGAAAATACAAGCAGTCCCTTTTATTGTGAGTCCTTTCCTCAACACCATGCTCAAATGCTCGAATAAAGGGTACACAATGGAGTGGATTACCATCAAAGACTGGAATCTCTCTATTTGGAAGTGTGTAAGGTTGAGCTTGATGTATCAGATATGCAGTGAACTCCTCCTGCATTTTCAAAATCTCAAAAAGAGGTTCATCTTGAGATTGAAGAGGGTTTGTAGCTTGTGTTGCCATATTGCCTCTGGAATGTTGTACAGAATAATGTTAATCCTGATGTTAGTGAGTACTGCTGTCATGAGTGTTCAATCCTCCTTTGTGCTGCATTTTTGTTGATTGTGATGGGATATTAGAGGTAGCACCAACTGGTTGTGATGGACCGCTGTAAATTACTCCAGCTGTACCCACTGATATTTGACTCATTGGCACATATGCAGTAGCTTGTGGATTTAACATCTGGTCTTGTTGAATCAAAAATTCCATTTCCTGTCACATCCCTTGATGTTTGACCCTTTGTTACTTTTCGTTTAGAATGAGAACTACCAGTATGTGAACATTTGCTATGGCTGTCAAAAGTACTAAAAACAGCCATTTTTGCATTAGATGCTGCAATTTCAGCATATAATTCAAGTTGCTCCTTTTTAGGGATGCACCGATATGAAAATTTTGGCCGATACCGATAACCGATTATTCTTTATTTTTGAAAGCCGATAACCGATATGTTGGCCGATAAATCTATATCCAAATTGTTATATACTTTTTGAGAGCCTGATTACAAAAAAGGTATCATCATTAAAAGCCACATCCCAAACACTTCAACATAAGTTTGTTTCCTCAATTCCTAGAACAGGGGTCACCCAACTCGGTCTTGGAGGGCCGGTGTCTTGCAGAGTTTAGCTCCAACTTGCCTCAACACACCTGTCTGGAAGTTTCTAGTATACCTAGTAAGACCTTGATTAGCTGGTTCAGGTATGTTTGATTAAGGTTGGAGCTAACCCCTCCAGGACCGAGTTTGATGACCCTTGCATTAGAATATAAAACAAATGGTTATTCATAAGCAAATGCTACAACCTTTTATTATCGTCTGTTTAAATATATCTATTATTATATAATCATTGTTTTAGTTCAGTAGGAATGCAAACAAACACATAGGATTTGATGTGAAAAATGTATGCAAAATAAGGACAAATGTTGCTTTGCAAACTGAAAGTTGTTAAAGACCACTTGCAATGGCTTTCATATGCACAGTTTTTGTGTGTGTATGTGTAGTTTGCTGTATAATCACTCAGCAGCTGTTGGTTTGTGTTTCAGGTGTTCCTGCTGCTGAACTATATCAAATGAATAGAAAGGCAGTGAACGAGGGAGAATCTGTCACTTTAGATCCTGGTGAAATAAAAAAATATTTAATGTCGTGGTATTTTAATGACGTTCGTATAGCTGAAATTAATGGAGATCCCAATAAAGTTGGTAACGAGAGATTCAGAGACAGACTGAAGCTGGACAATCAGACTGGAGCTCTGACCATCATGAACACCAGAACCACAGACTCTGGACTTTATAAAATACAGATCATCAGCAGCAGATTCAGTATTATAAAGAGCTTCAGTGTTACGGTCACTAGTGAGTATGATTTAGTCATTCAGTGCCTTTTCCCTTGAGCAGAGTAAATGTTTTCAGTGTGGCCTATATGATAAACTGAGCTTTGACTAGATAATCTGTATCACCTTGACTTGCACATCAAGTTACATATAACTGACACAACAAACATGCGGTTAACAAGTCTAATGTTATTAACATGGAAAATGACTAGTAATAAAGACTCTTCTTGCTGTTACAGGTTCAGGTTTGTCTTCAAGTGTTATAGAAGAAAAATATGTTGCTGGTGCTGTTGTTGGTGTTCTGCTGCTCGTGGCTGCTGTTGCTGTTGTGATTTGTAAAAGAAAGAAAGGTGAGTATTACATACACCTGATTTAACAAAATGGAAGTGTAGAATTTACTGTGTGAAAATAATCTTTAAAATAATGTGCGTTTAATTGAGTTTGTTATTATTTAAACAGACATCAGGACACAGCACATTGCTCAGGTGAGGAACGATGAGCACTGAATCTGCAATTTTGCAACATAATTTATGTGTTTTATGCTGTTTTACTTACTGCTGTTTTACTTAGTCCGAGGTAAGTATACAGCGCGCTGCTATCTCTCCCAGCACCTCTACTCCGTGTGTTTCTCTGCACAGGCCCGGTGCACCCAGGACGCGATCTTCCCAGATGTCCTTCACTCCGGCGCCGGGACACCACGGACCCTGGGTGCAGCCGCAGCGGAAGACGAGAGGTCGCCCAGCAGCGCGCTGTATACTTACCTCGGACTTGTGAGCATGCACCTGCACTCAAAGGTAGACACACATCCGCCATTAAAGCAAGTAACAGTGAGTAAACCATGGTAATGTGTGTGAATAGAGTATTAGTGTAAGCGAGATTAGCAGTAAGTAAAACAGCATAAAACACATAAATTATGTTGCAAAATTGCAGATTCAGTGCTCATCGTTCCTCACCTGAGCAATGTGCTGTGTCCTGATGTCTGTTTAAACAATAATAACAAACTCAATTAAACGCACATTATTTTAAAGATTATTTTCACACAGTAAATTCTACATTTCCATTTTGTTAAATCAGGTGTATGTAATACTCACCTTTCTTTCTTTTACAAATCATAACAGCAACAGCAGCCACGAGCAGCAGAACACCAACAACAGCACCAGCAACATATTTTTCTTCTATAAAGTGCAAACTCACTGTTTCCCTGGTGCTCGTGTTCTCGATGTTTGGGGTCGACGGTAGCGCCGGCGCCACCAGTGCATGTTTTTCTGATAAGAGCAAAAAGAACTTAAAATGCTCGTTCATTTTTGTTTGTACACATAAGAGTAATACACCATTCGAATCTGTAAAGGGTCTACTTTTATTTGTGTACACTCACAATATCAACAAAACATTGTGTTTTTGCAAAATAAAGAAAATAAACAGGGTGTGCTTTTAGCCGTCTCATTCTCCGCGCATATCTGTTTGAAACGCGTCACTAAAATGAACTGAAACTCAGCGAATATTTGACACACACACATGAGCGACATATCTATAGAAAGCTTAACATGTCTACTTTTAAACGAAGTAAGACATGACGATGTGTAAACGTATCAAGTAAGCTGTAAATAAGTGATGCATCGACAGACATATATGCGCGTCCTTTCTGGGGACGCTCGTTCAGTTTTCAACTCCATTCAGAATCTTCGAGTAAGTGTGCATTCATATTTTACAGATGCTACTTTCATTTGATTTATTTGCTGTATGGTAAACTGTTTGTTATGTGGTAATTGTGTTCTTTGTTTCGATAAATTAGTACTAGTATTAGTGAACATAATAATAATGTAGTTTGTGTAAACAGCATGCTTGCTTTTTTATTTCAGATGTGAGAATAACAGTGTAAAAGAACCTGTTGCAAAGAGAGCCAAAGCAAAGCAGCCCACTTGGTCATGGAAATGGGGATTCCTGCCTGCACAAGAACCTGGACCACAGCTAAGACCATGTGATGCACACACTCCCATGAGTTATTTTATGTGATAGTTATATGTATTCTAAATAAACTACAAACAAAAAATATATAAATTAATTTTTTCCTCACATTCTTTCTTGTAGCAATTCCCTCTCAGTCACACACCTGAGAGCTCATTATGCAGGCCGTTGTCTTCTCAGGTGTGAATCACATCATTATTCATGATCATTCTCGCCTACTCGCATACACTTTTTCTACACAAAAAGTGTCTTAAATTTAAATCAATATATTGTTTTCTGTGAATGAGTGAGTAAGATGATTTTCACATAATTTTGAAGCAAAAACTCTAGACTTCAAGATCAGTTCTCAAAAGTCTTGATTAAATGTTCTGTATGTGTTTTATGGCCTTATTTCAGTGACTTTAAAATTGTAGTTTTTCACGAAGCACGCATAAACGTTGTTTTCTCAAAAACACAATCACGTACATACATGCTGCTCACATATTATTGTAGCCCAGTTTGTGCTGATTACAGTGTTATTAAACTTTAGACAATCAAATGTTTGTAAGCAACTGAAAAAAGCACAAATGTCAGGGCATGTCAAAACTTTTCCAGGCCCCAAAACACCCTCGGACCCCAGAGGGTTAAAGAACAGTTTTATATCATTCTATAATTATAATAATTTATATATAATCTTTATATTATCATGGTTTATCAGGGTGTAACATGGATGTTTCTTATTTTTATTATGGAAGCAGAACTTCACAGGTGAAAAAACACAACCCCCAAAATAAACTAAATGACAAATAGTCTGAAAACAAAAAGTTTAACTTTATTTAGAGCGCAAGTAAGAGTATCAATACTCTCTTATTAATACAGTAGGTTAATACAATATATTAGCTCTGGATTTTCAACTGCAATATTAAAAGTATCAGGAAATAATACATTTGTGACAATTAGTGATTCTAAATTCTTTCTGAATATTTTGCGGTTGTTTTAATCATAATGCTACAGACATTGTGGCATATAAATATATATTACTGCAGGACAGAAGATAATTCATTAAGAGAAACTTCACATATTTAAGTCATTTTTTTTATTTTTGCAGAAGAAGACCACTATACATTCCTCTGATGTCATGAAAAAACACAGTTCAAAGTTACTAGTGTTTTTGTGTTTGTGTAACTCCCAACATCAGTCCTGTTCATTTCTTTAATCTTCTGTGAATCTGTGTTTTCTTACAGGTGAATCATGTTGAAAGCTCATTCCCTATTCAGACTGATGCTTTATTTATGACTCCTGCAAATGAGACGACTCCTAATGCAGTGAGACACCAATGTAACGTCATTTATCATTTTGATACTTTCATTGAAAGGGACAGTGAAGGGAAGATGGAAACGAGAGAAGAAACTTTCATTACTCACAGAGAAATAGTGTAACGATGCCAAGATTTCAGTGTTGGGTACCTGTGAAATTTAACCTCATCGCCAATTTCAACTAATTAAAATTTAAAGCTGCAGACCGTAACTTTTTTTGGTTAAAAATGATCTGAAATCAATATTTGAGCAAGTACATAACCAGCCAGTGTTCAAAACTTACTTTAGCCCGATTCACAACAGTTAGCTTATAATAATGTTTTCTAATTTGAGTGGTACGGGTAGGTTTTCGCAGGAAATTCGAGCATGGCACTGCGTCATTACGTCACGTCTGTAAACATAAAGAAGTTGTCCCGGCTACTAGGCTATCGCATGTGAGGATCCTGCAGGTGGAGGATCGTTTATAGCCTTTTCTCACAGCAGCCGGAATAATTAAATGTATCATTTTGATGGTGGATTGTAATCCAGAAAGTATTCTGTGTTTATGAAACACATGTGAATGAAATGAAATTATATTCCAGTTTTAAATGTGCTTCTGATTACAGATAGCCTGGGATTACACAAGATTTGTATTTTAAAGAAAACCAGTTCGAAGGGAGCATCATTTGCTTTTTGGGTTAAAATAATTTCTTAATATGAAATTCGAGTGGTATGACAATTAGAGATTAGACTGTACAGAAATTGAAATCTACTCGCTTACACACACTGTACTCATAGTCAACAATGCTGATGTTGTTAACAATTTGAGAATAAAGTATAACAATAATAATTTGCACAGTTTGATGTGATATGAGCTCATTTAGATTTAATCACCATTGGTTGCACGATTTATGATAATGATTTTTTTCCTCAGTTGGTCCGAACAAATGTGGCAGACTTGTTACTTACTACTTCAGATGACAATATCTGGCGAAAATGCTTATTTGAGTCATATATTCCAAGACGTAGGCTAGAATCTGTGAGTGCAAAGTACCGTAAATATCCACACCGGTGCGGTGACTGACTGCCACACACACATACTCCTCAAAACATTAGATTCATCCACACTGGAGCTGTGCCAGAGTACTACCCACGCAAGGAAGATAATTCCGCACACAGCTGCAATTGCAGGTTTTCAAACAGAGACGGCGACAAAGAGGCAAAACTTACGGACTGCAGCTTTAAATTAATTTAAATGATAAATTTAAAAAGTAGCCTAAATACTTTTGAAGTTGTGTAAACAGTAATACAGTAAATCTGCAACAACGTAAGAAACAAAGAAGCGCGTTCACTGCAACAGAACAAAGAGTGCTTGATGTTCTTCAGTATATAGTTTTTTTTAAAGCTGCTACTGAAAGTGATCCAGACAAGAACAGGTCATAATTGTCTTTTTTTTGTTTACAGTATTATCTATAATCATCAGTAGCGTTTGTAAACAAAGACAACCTTTTTTTTATGATTAAGACGGGACAGTAAGAGGTCATTAAAGATAAGATGAGAGATGACATTGACGTGCTTAAAATAATTGTGACTATACCAACATGCAATATTGCTGACAAAAAGACAACTAAAATTTAAGTTTAAAAAAAAGTTTACCAAAATGTATTTTTTTTTGCACCAAAAAGGGGAGACAAAATATTCTAGACTGTATTATAGGCTGCTCTCCCTCTGCTGCGAAAAAAGCACTGATGATCGGAAAGCACAGACAAATATGTATGTTGGAGTTTGATGATCTACATTGTGATATTCTGCTCGAGTGAAAGACAAGCACTCTTTGTAGAACAGGTACTGTCAATCAAACAAGTGCTGAATTGAATCTGTACTAATACTGTTTTAGTATCTAGTTTTAGTACCATCTTGACAACACTAACCCTGATGAAAACACCAGTATGCTGTTATTCCGAACATTCACATTACTCTAAGCTGGTGTTTTCAGCAGGAATCCTTCATTGAAGCACTTTATTTTGTTTTTTTTTATTTTTTTTAACTTATTTTATTATGTTTTTTTTTTTTTTTTTTTTGGAGGGGTGTCGTAGTTTTGTGGTTTAAGGTTCAAATTTTGCAAGGGTTGATCCATGAAATATCACTGTTTTGTCCTTGAACAAGATGCTGGATCTCAGGAACTGATCCTGTAATAACTGCACTTAAAACTCCTGTGGATTGAAACTTCCAAATGTATGCAAAACGGCAAATATATATTTTTGTAATGTATTGTTATATACTGTATTATCTTCCACATCTGTTGTTACTGACTGATGTATGAGCCACTGGTTTACTGGTAAAACAACAATATGCATTTATTATTCATATGTATTATGATATTCAGTTGTTTGCTATTTATGTGGTTATTGTTGATGTGCAAAAGTGAATTGCTATTCTTTGTAGTTTTTTCAACTGCAAGATTTAGGAGTGTCATCATGGTGCCTGTTTTCTCAGAAAAGTAATTTCAGTGTCAGAGCTGAAGTACTGTAATAAGCCCACCTCACAAAAACTTGAAGCACAACCTTTAGTAGAAGACAAGTTGGGTGCCTTCTGACCCTCTTTTAGATATTTTATATATCTGCTTGTTTCCTGTAATTTGCATCAGCCAAGGAATAAGTGTCTTACATTTATGCATGTATAAACGCCATTTTCTTAAAAAGAAAAGGAACTTTGTGTGGATCTTTGTAATTTGGAAGATAAGATCTTTGTATGTTTATGTGACAAGTGTCATTAAAAATAGATCTGATTTACTCATAACACTTCGACTCTTTGAGTTGTTTTGTTGTTTTATCAGAAATACTAAAGTAAGCTACACTGAATAATCTGATCAGTGTCTCTGTATATTCTGAAATGTGATTTTAACACTCTCTGATGCACTGAACTTTCAACTTAAACATTTTATGATCCAGCCTTTGACTTTTACTAAAGCTAACTAGCTGTTCAACTCCACCCTTAGCAGTAAACGCAGAATCTAACTGTAATTTTCTAAAAACTTTTTTATTTCGTATATTTATATTGGATGAAGGTGAAGGCTGTTCTTGGAAAGGTGAATTCTTAGTTGGGACTCTAGATGGCGCGCCAGTAGTACAGTATGCATACTGCTTGTAGTATACTCTGGATGAAGATCCCTATACGAGCGTATGGGACGCTCGGTGGGTTCAGGTGTAGTGCAGCCAAGATGGTGGTGTGTGTTTTCGGTAAGAGAAACAGGAGGGGGAATCCCAATTTAACTTGTTTAATCAAAGGAGATTTGTATATGTTACTTCACACATGTGGTCTATAATAGACAGAAGAGATACAAAGAAAACAGTGGTAAATATATCAGTAAATGACACAAACATTCAGCTATTAAGTAGTATATTAATTAACATCCATTAGTTGCCGATTATATTAGTAAATAAAGTAAACAATTACAAGAAGATTGCGCGATTGTTGCGTATGCTCAATATTACAAGCAAGGAAAGTGCAACGTCATCAAATTTGACATTTCCAAACAATATTGAACAAACCGGGTGATATGTAACTAGGAAGTGAACATAATCATTTGCATTCTAATAGAAATAGACTTATTATAAAGCTCGAAGTCCGATACGAAAGCGTTTGGTTTCACTTTCGTTTGTGACGGAGTTTAAGATGCGTTCAATTTACGGGCAAATATCGACATTCAGATCAATAATATAGATTACAAATACAAATTATATATGGAAACTCACCCGTAATCCTTTACACACTGGTAAAACATATACAAAGTTGAATAAACAGTCCAGCCAGCCTGATTTGTAACCTACTGCTGTCGAGACAAAATGTCCGCCCCTAACTGCGCTACGTGTCACTAGGGGGTGTGGCTATAGGGCTTTCTCACAATCCCATATTAAAATATGATTGTATATCAGGAACAATAAATATAGTAACTATTGACCAAACTATGGTTGCCGTAGTAGATTGCTTTATGGTTTATCAATGCATTATTTTCTTTTTCTTTCTTTTTATAATCATTAATAATTAAAGACCGTAAAGAAACGTCACTACATCGCTCTGCAGTGTGTAAGGGAGCCTCCCAAATCATTACGTTCACTTTAATAAAACAATGGGCTCTCCTGTAATGTAGAGGAGCACGAGTATGTTTACGTAACTGAATCTGCATTCGTTTTAGGAATTTTTTGGGGAAAATGAAGCACGTCTCAAATTTGCTCTCATCGCTCATGTATTTAATCGCGTACGGTAAGTCATGTTTATACATTTACATTTACATTTAGTAATTTAGCAGACGCTTTTATCCTCCACTCGATTTACATTCGACATACATTGTTGTTTGTATTTTGCTCGACCATTATAATACATTCTTTACTATCTCTTTTCTGGTCAACAACGCCTATAAAAATGAACGATGCACAGCCCATATCAGTTTCAGAGGCGTGGATTAAAAACATTATGGCCAAACTGTTCAAGTAGGGATAACTGGAGACAGCTAAAGGGGTCTCTGTTTTTGCTCAGGTGTAGTGACTTGGTGTAAAAACACATAAAAGTGACGTAGCATCAATACAATGAATAAATAGAAATCGCCTAAACTGATCAAATGTAGACTACTTGAATGTGAGTCGCTTTGGAGAAAATCTTCTGCCGAATAGAATGCAAATAAAAACTTAAGAGATTCAAACAGCAGGAGTAAAAATAAGACCCACAATCTTTATGATCTGTAGGAAAACATTTTCACAGCACATCTGTTATATAAATTTGCAGTAGGGGTTCAATCTTCAACTGGCTGGCAGGAGCCGCCACTGACAGGTCACGTGACCTGCCAGTGGCTGGGGGCAGCCACTCTAAATTTGTTTGGCTTATGATTACCTGTTTATTTCTTCTACAGGCGTCTCTGGTGTCTGTACAGATGAAGTGTCAGTGTGTGTGATGGAGGGAGATTCAGTCATTCTAAACCCTCATATTAAAACAAACCAACAGGTTAGAATGAAATGGTATTTTAATGACATTTGCATAGCTCAAATCAGTAGAGATTGCAGACAGGCCTGCACAGATGTTCAGTGTGAAGATTCTGATGAGAGATTCAGAGACAGACTTAAGCTGGACAATCAGACTGGATCTCTGACCATCAGGAACATCAACACCACAGACTCTGGACGTTATGAACTGGAGATCACCAGCAAAAGCGGCAGAATCAGTAGAAAGACATTCATTGTTGCTTTATATGGTGAGTCATTGTGTTTGAAACCAAATCTTGTACATTTAAATCAAATTCTTTTATTGATCAAAATAAGCAGAATATAGTACAAACTTTGCTAAAGTGATTGTTCTGAACAAGTATTAACTTGTTCAAAAAACATTCAAAACAATATTTTAGCTAATGTATTTGTATCACTACTGTGTGCCTTTTGCCCCATGCTGGTGAGCCTTTTACCCCGTGTGTGGGGGGTAAAAGCCCCCCCCCCCTTGCCACCTCATATTTCTACGATTACTTGGAACCTTAAGAAGGTTAAGAAGACCTGGTTTAGTTAACCAAGAATCCAAAGTGCAGAGAACCTGATGAAAAAAGTATGAAAAATATGTTCATAAATGTGGACATTTTGTCACAATCATTTTCATTTCCACAGTTCTTTCATGTTATGTAGTTTGTTACTACTTGTATAGTTTATTTTCACACAAAATCTGTTGTTCCCATTTATAACGGAGATGAAACTGACTGGAGCTTTCTCTGCGTTCAGTGGTTTGAACGCACACATTCCAGCCAATCAGAACTGAGTATTCAGACAGACCATGGTTTATTTTTGTTCAGCTTATAATTAACTGTTAATTTCTTCTTCAGGTTTTTTCGGTGTTGATACAAGAAGAGTGTCCGTGATGGAGGGAGATTCTGTCATTCTGCACACTGATGTTACAACAACCCAGCAAAACAGAATGACATTTAGATGGTATTTTACTGGCTCTCAAATAGCTGAAATCACTGGAGATCACACTGATATCTGTACAGATGCTCATGGGAAATTTACAGGCAGACTGGCCCTGGATCATCAGACTGGATCTCTGACAATCAAAAACATCAGAACCACAGACTCTGGACTTTATAAACTACAGATCACCTGGAGCAGAAGTATCAGAATCATAAGGAGCTTCAATGTTACCGTCACTGGTGAGTATCATGTGATGATATACATTTATCTCTAATTGCTTTTTGTTTACTCATGTATGGTTAAAAAAAAAAAACATTTATTTGTTACAATCTCTCCTCGATAAAACCAAATGGAAAATGTAACAGTTTAAAATGCAACCCAGATCAGATCAGTTTCAGTGGTGTGACTGAAAAATAAAGTACGGTACAAATACTTTGAAAATGGGGTCTTTGTAAATCCTTAGGTCAAATGACTTCAAAACCTCTAAACGTAATGTCCTCCTACCTTGACATTGTATCTTAAAGTGGTGGAAAATAGCACAGTATTATTATGGGTAATATTCATCTGCATAACATTCATTATGAGTCTATAAAAAATACTTGGTTGTCTCAAATACATGTATATGTATAAATATATGATGATGTTCTTCTGCTGTTTGTTTGCATATGTGTTACATTACATTGTGCTACTCAGTCTTTATGATCTGTAGAAAAACATTTCCACTGCACATTCCTGTTTTATAATTTTGTTTGGCTTATGACTAATTCTCTGTTTATTCTTCAGGTCTTTTTGGTTTTAGAGCCATCTTGCCAGTTTTTGTGAAGGAGGGAGATTCAGTCACTCTACACACTGATGTTGAAACAAACCAACAAAAAGATATTAAATGGTATTATGATGGCCTTCGAGTGGCTGAAATCAATGGAGATCTCAGTTTTATCTGTACAGATGTTCAGTGTGAAGATGCTGATGGGAGATTCAGAGACAGACTGAAGCTGGACAATCAGACTGGATCTCTGACCATCACAAACATCACAACCACAGACTTTGGTCTTTATAAAGTACAGATCATCATCAGCAGCAGAATCAGTGAAAAGATCTTCTTTGTTGCTGTATATGGTGAGTCATTATGTTTAAATCATGTGAATAATGTGTTTAGTGGGAAATGGAAAACTCAGATTGAAGCAATTACTGAATGCTTTGTCAGAGAGGGGGGAATTCCTGTCACACCAATTCACTCTGCTTGAATCCAATGGGTGTTTGGAGTAAACTTACACTGGACACCAGAGCAATTCTGTGATTGGATGGGGTGGGCCCATGGTAGGCCAAGCTCACCAGTTGAGTGGGCTAGGCAAAACCTGAATCCCACCGGTGGAGATGGGCCTAACCCAACATTTGACCTAACTTTTGAGCTTTAAGAGTTTTGTTAAGAAGGTTAAGAAGACCTGGTTTAGTTAACCAAGAATCCAAAGTGCAGAGAACCTGATGAAAAAAGTATGAAAAATATGTTCATAAATGTGGACATTTTGTCACAATAATTTTCATTTCCACAGTTCTTTCATGTTATGTAGTTTGTTATTATAGGCAAAAAGATCCTCCAGCAGCTGTTGTTGGTTTGTGTTTCAGGTGTTCCTGCTGTTAAATCAGATGAAATGTCAGTGGAGGAGGGAGAATCTGTCACTTTAAATCCTGATGTAATAAAATACCAGAATGATTTGCTGACGTGGTATTTTAATGACATTCGCATTGCTGAAATCACTGGAGATCAGCGTAAGATCTGTACAAATGATCAGTGTGAAGATGCTGATGAGAGATTCAGAGACAGACTGAAGCTGGATCATCAGACTGGATCTCTGACCATCACAAACCTCAGAACCACAGACTCTGGACTTTATAAACTACAGATCAGCAGCAGCAGCGGCGGCAGCATCATAAAGAGATTCAGTCTTATTGTTGGTAGTGAGTATCATTTAGTTATATATCAAAAATATCAATGTTTGATCTTCTAGGTATCTGATGCACTACGAGAAGTGAAAACTGTCCACCTTGACTGCTTTTTTTAATAAAGCAAAATAATAAAGCACAATTATTGACCTTGGTGAGTTGCTTTGGATAAAAGCTTCTGCCAAATGAAAAAAAATAAATAAATCTAGATGAAAACATGTTATTTCTGTGAGGGATTCAAACAGCAGGACTAAAAACAAAAACAAAGTTTGTAGAAAAACATGACATTGTATTTTAATGTAGTGGAAAATAACACAGTTTCCTTAATTATTTTGATGGGTGAAATTCATCTATGTAATATTCATGTATTGTATGTGCATTAAGTTCTCAAGATCATCAGTGAGTCAAATGTATGTTTATCTGATGAGTGAATGTGTAAATCAGTGATGTTCGTCTGCTGTTTGTTTGCATGTGTTACATTTCACAACATTTTCACATCTCTTTCCTGTTTTTGTTCGGCTTATGATTAACTGTTCATTTCTTCTTCAGGTTTTTTCAGTGTTGTTGATACAGATAAAGTGTCAGTGATGGAGGGAGATTCAGTTATTCTACACACTGATGTTGAAACAAACCAACAAGGCAGAATGAGGTGGTATTTTAATGGTATTTACTTAGCTGAAATAAGTAAAGATATCAGTGTTATCTGTACAGATGTTCAGTGTAATGAAGGTACTGGGAGATTCAGAGACAGACTGAAGCTGGATCATCAGACTGGATCTCTGACCATCACAAACATCACAACCACAGACTCTGGACTTTATCAACTACAGATCATCAGCAGCAGAATCAGTCAAAAGATATTCATTGTTGATGTAGATGGTGAGTCATTATGATTAAAAACAAGTCTTGACAATTTAAATCATCCTCCAGCAGCTGTTGGTTTGTGTTTCAGATGTTCCTGAACGAGATAAAATGAAGAGAAAGTCAGTGAAGGAGGGAGAATCTGTCACTTTTGATCCTGCTGTAATAAAAAACCCAAATGATTTGATGAAATGGTATTTTAATGACACTCCCATCGCTGAAATCAATGGAAATCTGAGTCAGATCTGTACAGATGTTCAGTATAAAGAGAGATTCAGAGACAGACTGAAGCTGGATCATCAGACTGGATCTCTGACCATCACAAACACCAGAGCCACAGACTCTGGACTTTATAAACTGGAGATTACCAGCTGCAGCAGCAACGTCAGTATCAGTGTCATTAAGAGCTTCAGTGCTACTGTCACTGGTGAGTATCAAGTATTAATTTATTGCATTGCATTGGTTTAGAATACAGTATGACATTTTGAAACCAACCTAATTTAAAAAAAAAAATTTGAAAATAGAAATATTAAATTATGGAAAAGGTTAAATTATATTTTTAAATATAAAACCAGATCTGCCAGAAGGTGGTGGCAAGTAACTATCTTAAAGGGATAGTTCACCCAAAAATGAAAATTTGATGCTTCTTCTTCTTCTTGCTTTACGGCGGATCGCAGACTTATAAGTGCATTACCGCCACCTCTGTCTCTCAAATGGACCATTGACACTCAATCTACAATCTCAATTGGGAGTGTCAATGGTCCATTTCAATGGTCCCCCGATGGTTTTGTGTTTTTACACATCAATGTATCGTCACAAGCCGCAGGGTTTAATTTGGTTTTGTTTATGTATGTTTTATGACTCTCAAAGCCGTGATTCCCATCCACTGACATTATAGGACTGACAGACTGCAACAGTTTGACTTAAAAATCTCAGTTTGCGTTCTACTGAAGAAACAAAGTCACCTACATCTTGGATGCCCTGGGGGTAAGCAGATAAACATCAAATTTTCATTTTTGGGTGAACTATCCCTTTAATTAATGAATTGTTTGTTCATCCGATTCATTCAAAATGACTTATTCATTCACGAACGAAGCAAGTGACTGGCTTTTTCATGGGTCATTGAATCATTTGATCAACAGATTTGTTCAAAATGTGCATTCATTCAGGTGGCCCTGTCCCAAATGGTACACTTCATGTGCACTTGAGGTCTTTTAGGGTATTTATTAAAGGGGTCATTTGATGCGATTTCAAGTTTTCCTTTCTCTTTGGAGTGTTACCAGCTCTTGGTGCATAAAGAAGATCTGTAAAGTTGCAAAGACTAAAGTCTCAAATCCAAAGAGATATTCTTTATAAAAGTTAAGAGTCAGCCACGCCTACCTAAAACGGCTCGTTCTAACACGCCCCCAACATGTCTACATCACTGTGTGGGAAGATTTGCATAACGCTGCCCAAATGCGCAAATACGCGAAGGCGTAACTTTTATTCTTGCTGTAGTATTGTTGTTGCCGCTGCCGCCATGTCGTGAAGGCGCTGTGTGCTTCGTTGTGAAAGCGAAACTACTTTGTTTGGTCTTCCAAATGAGGACGATATCCGCTTCGTCATGCCTGGAGCTGATCTGTGCTGGTCGCTGAGGAAATACATCAACTTCACGCTGTCGATCGCCAGACCGGCTTTCACCGTGGACGAAGCGGAGTCCAAGCAGTTGTCACAGCCCCCCGGCCGCTCCTTCGTCGAATCCGCCGATCGTGCCATTCTCAAGCCCACCCGCCACCGCTCACTCAAGCCCGCCGTGTGTTTCATTGTGAAAGCGAAACTACTTTGTTTGGTCTTCCAAAAGAGCACACGACTAGAAATCACATGCCTGGATAGCTGGCCAAACCTAGCGATGAGCTTTGTAAAAATCTATGCGTTTCAGAAAGGCGGGGCATAGAGGAGAAACAATAGTGTACAGTATGTGGAAAATAATGTGTTTTTTGAACCTTATACCGCATAAACACATTTCATTACACCAAATACACAAAATAATGTTCTTTTTAGCAGCATCATATGACCCCTTTAAACTGTCTTATAATATCAATATCAACTTTTGTTAAATTTGTTCCTCCAAAATAAAAAAGATAAAGATAAAGATAACAGCATTTATTTAAAATATAACTTTTGTAACAATATACACTACTGCTCATAAGCTTGAGGTCAGTATTTTTGTTTTTTTATTTTGAAAGAAATTAGTTTTTATTCAGCAAGGATTTGTTAAATTGATAGAAACAGTGACAGTAAAGACTGATATTGTTAGAAAACATCTCTATTTTGAATAAATGCTGTTCTTTTTAACTTTTCATTTATCAATGAACCCCAAAAAAGTATCACAGGGTATAAAAAAAAATTGTTTTTTTTAATTAAGCAGCACAACTCTTTTCAACATTGATAATAAATCAGCATATTAGAATGATTTCTTAAGGATCATGTGATACTGAAGACTTGAGTAATGACGCTGAAAATTCAGCTTTGCATCACAGAAATAAATGATATTTTACAAGTACAATTTAATTATTCTTTTTAAATACAGTTGAGCCCCCAAAGTCCCCCCCCCCCCTTCTGCACGTGCCTGTGTTAAAGCCTCATGGTCTATAACTGTTTTAATGTTGCCCTGCTCTCTAGTGATAGTGTTTGTCTTTATCCATTCCAGGTTCAGGTCTGTCTTCAGCTGAGCAGGAATATGTGTTGCTGCTGTTGTTCTGCTGCTTGTTGTTACAGCTGCTGGTTTAATTTACTGCCACAAGCCGTGTGCAAGAGAACAGGTGAGTATTACATGCAGATGATTTAACAAGAGGGAACTTTGAGATTTATTGTATGAAATTTTTTTTTTAAAGATGAGTAAAATTTGTATTTTTATCCTAATTAATCAAAGCAATGTGTGTTTAAAATTGAGTTTGTTATTGTTGTTCCAAAATGCATCAGGAGGTGGGTTGGCAAAATGTTTGTGAGTGTGTCAGGGGTGGGTTTAGTGATTTGGGGGCAAAATATAGGAATGGGGTAAATCAAATTGACCTGGATTAGCCCAATGAATTGCAGAGATTATGAAGTAGAAGGGTCAACAATGTAAATATTGACTCTGTGCATATATTTAATCTTTCTTGCCAATAAAACTTATGAAATGCTTATCATTGTTTTTATGTTATTATAGAATTATAATATAGACATTGTGTTCATTTTTGTAAAAGAAAACCATCATAACACAATTCCAAGTATCTTTGTGTTGAAACTGAATCATTAGACGTGTTAATTTCTTTAATCTTCTGTGAATCTGTATTTTCCTACAGGTGAATCGTGTTGAAAATGTGTCCCCTGATCAGATGGATGCTTTACCTACCATTTATGATTCCTACCAATGAGGCCGAGTCTCACCGGAATCAGCGGATACTCTCATCACTCACAGTGTAATAGTATTGTCACATTACAAAGATTTCAGTATTAGGTACCAACTACATTGCTATGTTTCATTTTTAAACTATTGAAATAATACATTTAAAAATGTAGGCTAAATACTTCAGAATTTGTGTAAAAATTACTTCAGAAAAGACAAACAGTAAATCAGCAACAAAGTAAGAAACAAAGAAGCGCGTTCACTGCAACAAAACAAAGAGTGCTTGATGTTCTTCAGTATATAGAGTTTTTTTAAAGCTGCTACTGAAAGTGGTTCAGACAAGAACAGTTCATTATTATCTTTGTTTCATTTAGTATTGCTGTTAATCATTAATATTTACTGTCATTAATAATCATAGAATATTTATAATCTTTAATATATAATCATTATAGTTATAAACATTAGCAATTTGGTTAACACAAACTACCTTTTTTACATGACTAAGATGAGACAATGACAAGATGAAACAAGATGACACTGATATCATTAAACCAGTTGAGTAGGCAGAATTTTATTTTTGGGCGGGCCTGGGCAAAAGTGAGCTGGCACTAGTAGGCTAACTAACGGATGGAGTCGGACTCAGTATTTAGGTCATTTCAATCTTTTTTTCTTTGATCCTACTGAAAAATAACCCATGGAACACTGTGCAAGACACGCATAGTAAAACTACCACGTCTCCGTCTCCATCTCCGTCACGAACGTGCCCATTGTCAACATATCAAAATCATTCACAACAGTCCCAATCCCTAAATACTGTTGCAGATTACAATAGGCCACTCGAACTATAAAGTTTGAAGCTGTGTAGAATCTCTCACGCCAGGTCACTAATGCACATCTGCTCAACTAATACGAATACAAAGCCTGTCCACATATAAAAATTCTTAAATTCTTTAGACACCACCACACACTTAAAGGTCCCATATTTTACACCTTCCTGGAGTTTTATTTTAGGTTTTGATGTTCTTAAGAATATATATTTGCGGTATAAGTACCAAAAACCATCTCAATATATTTTTACAGCTCCTCTCTCAGGAGCTCTGCTGAGAACAGGTCGATTTTGGCCTGTCTAATTAATATTCATGAGCCTCTCTTCTGACTGGCCTGTTGTTTTCTGAGTGACACACGGCCAGGCCAACCACTGGTAACTAGGGTCAGCGACGTCACAGCGCTAGCTGGAGGCAGCAAAACAAAGAGGAAACTGGAGGCGGCCCATTCAAACCAGCGCAGATTCTGCTACATAAGGAGCTTAAAATATCATCTTGTTGTGATGTTGAGTGTCAGAATCGACGTAATACAGCCTCAAATTAGAAATTGGAACGCATATCTGCTGCAACTGCCAGACAAATAACCGACGACAGCTGTGGTTAAACGCGATAAAACGAGCAGACTGGACAGAAACGATCGTCACAAATGCTCATGTTTGCAGCGCACATTTCATATCAGAAAAGGTTCAATAAAGTATTGTCTTTTGTTGTTATGGGCGCGTCTACAGATTTCTTGCCATATGTCTATGTTTCTTGCATCCCACGACTATGTCGTGTATGAAATAATGTCTGTGTGCAGGTGTATAAAACAACAAACTGAATTTATATATAATCATTTGTAATTGTATATACATTATGATTAATTGTGGCTGGAACAATAATGTAGCTGTAAAAATAGTTGCCTGCTGAAATTGAAATGTATATACATCTTCATCATGACTAGATAGACACGGTGAGTTTGTCTTTACTATACATGTTAGATGTGATCACCTCATAGTAACAATCCTGTCAGATCGTCCATGCTTTGAGTGAGAGTGTAACGTTACAGGTCGGCCGATCTGGTTTCATGGTTAAAGTGAACCTTTGCGACATGTTTCCGCAATGTTGTCTGGGGGTTTGGCAAAAGGAGAGTGGGACGGGGGGCGGTGCTCGGGGTGGTGACTGAAGGCGGTGACTGTGTAGTTCTGACGTCAACTTTTTACGGAAGTCAAAACGGTTCGTGAAAAATCACAGCAACTTTATGCAGGCTGTGTGCATTTTACTGTGGACTGACTGTTTTGAAACTTATATGGTTGTTACATAGCACTTAGACCTCAGTTATAAGTGAAAAAAGCCAGGAAATTTCAGTTTTGACAATATGGGACCTAAGACGAATTTAAACAACGACTGAGCCCAAATTACATTCAAAATCGTCCTGACAGTAGTGTGTTCGCGGCTTTACAGAATGAACCGGTGTTGTGTAATATTTAGTTCCTGTGAAAAACTTTTCCAGTGGGTGGAGTTTACATGAATTTTCATTAGTTCCCATATTGTGGGCGTGTCCTTGAGACAACGCGCAAACGAATGGAACTGAAAATATTAGTGCACGCTCCTCAAATTGCAAATTGTTTAATTGATTATTTCGAAAAGGTAATGAAGTTTCAATGTTAAGCATTAAAGCATTAACTGCAACAGTGTCAAAACAATGCATAGTTTGTGTAATATGATAAATCGCCTTGAGCTGTTCTGCCTGATTGATTATGAGCACACAGCAGAGCAAACAAGCCAATAACCTGTGCTAACCCAGGCTAATATAGTATTTTACTCTTTGATGTCTTTAGCGTTTTATAAATTTTTGTTTGAGTAGTTTGATTAGTAGCCTACCTAGTTGTCATTGGTGACTAGTACTGCAGTGTTTACATGTAGTAAAATAGGAAACCTCTACAAATGTATCTGTGACCTAATAAAATATATATAATTAAGCCCGGTGTGAGTATCCTGTGTTCTTTTTTCATATTATACTGGATATCATGTAGAATTATAATTAAAGTCACAGAAGTAAAAGTGCATTAAATGTGCAAGTGTGTCACATATTTTCTTTTTTATTATCATGTAGTGAATTTTGATTTCGCCAACCTAGGGAGGCGAAATAGTGTAGTGATGGGTACTCGCATCACCAATGACGTTATTATATTTGGATCACATGCCACTTAAGGTGTGGTTATGAGTACATCACATAAGAAAGTTTGGTGGGATCTCTACCTTGTAGAACCTCTTTCTGTATCATCAACACAAGGAAGACACAAGTGTAGTAAAATAGATTTTATTAACAAAAGATAGACAAGAGTAATCAACAACTGCTAAATGAATACCATAAATGAAATAGTAATAAAGTCCATAAGATGCATAAAATGCAAGTGATTATGTTGGGTGTTGCATGGGTATGTCAGAGCTACGTTATCTGGAAAGATAAACTGTCGCTACTCTGAAAGAAATAAAGTGAAGAATCTTATTATGCATCAAACAAATACATGAAAGATTTGCTATAAACTGCAATCAGCTATATCTAATGTAAATTAGAAAAATCATATACTGATAATATGCAACAATGCCAAAGTCTCTGGAAGAGGTTTGGATAAGTGATAGTTATGTTCTCTGTGGTCGAATGAGCAGTCCGGTAGCAGTGACTTCATCCACGGGTTGTACTGATAGCAATGCAGTGAGGAAAGGAGCAGGAATCCGTTTCGACAGCCTTGAACACGAAGGCTGGAGGATGCTGATCCCCTGGAGCGCCAAAGGGTCCTAGAATCTGGAACACACAGATGTGGCCCTGGAGTAGGTGCAGAAGGTCCTTAGCCTGGAACACGCAAGCAAAGGTACCTTGGAGTGAAGGTTTGCTTGCCAGAGCTTAACTTTGTTGCAGATGTCTGTGTGTCTTCTGCCTCTCTGGGCTAGAGACTCAGAATTTGGTCGATCTGCTTTGTCTCTCTAGGATGGAGACTCAGGACGTGCTGCATCTGTTGTTGTCTCGCTGGACGAAGACTCTGAATGGAGTCTGAACGTAGATTATCTCTTTCCTCGCAGGCTGGAGGCTCAGAAAGTGGTCGTATCTGTTGCTGCCTCGAAGCTGGAGACTCAGGACTTGGTATCTGTTATTGCCTCTTCCCTCATGGGCCCGAGGCTCAGAACGTTGGTGATCTGTTGCAGTCTTTTCCTTGACAGGACTCAGACTCAGAATTTGGTCGATCTGCTTTGTCTCTCTAGGATGGAGACTCAGGACGTGCTGCATCTGTTGTTGTCTCGCTGGACGAAGAAAGCTAACCTGGGGTTTAAGGATGTATAGCGTGAAACATCAGCTTATGACTACCCAGGATTCAAGTGCAGACAAAAAGCACAGTATAAGTTATCATAATAAGCAATGGTATTAGAGCAACTAGCAAACTTTTTGGGATGAGAGTGATACTCTCATCTCACACGCTCATGCACACACCATAACAGCCAAAAATGATTGAACAAATGAAAATTAAACAACGTTAATAATAATGCACTTACCTTTGTGTTGTGCTTCAACTTAGAACAATCCATGGTTTGAGATTTGAGTCACTCGTCCGCTCTTTAACTTATATTTATACCTCTTTGGAATAGCAATCGCTTGAATATAGAGCTACAAGTTCAAAATCTGATCTATTATCATGCTAAAAAAAAAAAACACGTCACGCATGAATCAAATTATCTTATAAAATGTAGAAATTTGAAAACTGCCGAAATTATCACAAATTTTGTCGACCCACTCAAACCAATTTTGACACGCAATCAACTTTACATCCACCCGATTGGGCGGAAATCCACCCAATCTGGCAACACTGGTTCTGTTGTAATGTGCACAAGTGAAACATTGTTTTTATTTGTACTTTTATGTGAATCACAATGGAGTTGTAATGTCATATTGCCTGAAATTGTAAACAGTTTGTGATATTTGATGAGGTGCTGTTTAGATGTGGTGCCAGAGTCTATAATTTCATGTGAGGACATTTTTCCCCATCTGTGTCTCTCCTAGTTCTTTTCATGAATTGTTTGTGTGATTTTATACCATCTAATTAATTGTATCAATTATGTATTTATATAATAAAACCACTGTGTGATAGAGATGATTTGCCTCTATGTTTG